ACAATGACGCCACAAGTGACAAACAACACACACTGCTTAAATACACAAGGGAGGTGCAGGTGATTGGACACAGGAAACAATCCGACGATCACAGGGGATGACAGGACCAGGCAGGAAGTGAAGTTACCCGGGGACACGAGAAAACTACAAAATACGACAGGAAGTGCACCACACCGTGACAGGACATGTAGACGTGTCATGTGTATATATCATGGTACGCCACCACCATTAGGGAAACTAAGGATATACTAACAGCTGGTCTGTAAAATCTGGGGTTTTAAAAATATGCTAAACATTGCATCAGCTTGATACTTTATGACTTTTCCTTTTAATGACAACATCTGGCAAATATATATTACACATCTTCACCTTTGTGTTTACAGCGTAACGGAAATACCAGTGAAAAGTGTGGCTCTGCATTGTGGGTACACGTAGCTGTACCTCCTCGGACCTCCACAACACCGTGTTGGACAAATAGAAAACAAAACACTTTGTTAGCTCAGTTCACACGAAGCTTCCAGAATTTAATCTTCAAGTAAGGACTGCTAGAGTGGAAAATCGATGATGGCTGTTCCAGCTGCACGCTGTGTCACTATCCCGCGACAGCCAACGGAAACAAATGGGTTTGATAACGGCTTCCAGAGCTAAGCAGCGTGGCTCGGTGTACTGGTGCGTGTAGCCAAAACCAGCCCATAAATTTGCTGATACCCGGGACCGATTCCGCGCAATGCTTCAGGACTAATTTAAAGGATGATGAGCCGTATTAGCAGACCTGTGCTGGTCCTGATCACCACCACGGCCCAGAGGAGCTATTATCTCAAGAGCTGAGAAAAAGCAGGCCGGGAAAAAGGAGTGTGAGGACGTAAAAACGGCGTAAGGGAGGAAGCTAATTGGTCTCCATCTTAAGTAAACTAAGTCACTTTTACTTATTACGTGAAATGCTAATGCATCATTTGGTATAGGTGAAATTGCATTAACACGTATGGTCTTAGAGTAGAGAGAAATAATCCCTCTTTTCTGCATGGATCCAACCATCTGTTCGCTGCCTGTTTAGCTCCGTGCAACCACATCAGGACGTTTGCATCACATTCTACACGTGTAAATAAATAAACCATGCGACAGTCCCGTCATGCAGGTTATGGAGGTTTAAGTCGATCGGCAATGTCCACTTTGCTCTCAACTTGTTCTCTAGCTAGTTTCTGCGACACACACACACACATACACACATTTTGCCAAAGAGGGCAGTGGAAACAGACCCGGTCATTTCTTCATCAATGAGTATCTGGATCAGGGAGGAGGAAGATGAGGAAGGGTGAATTAAAGGAGGGACAAAGTGGGCTGTGTTTGTGTCTGTTTGTGTGTGTGTTTGTGTGTATCAAAGGCAGTAAAAAGGAGGAGGAGAGACATAATGACAGATGGGGGGGGCAGTGAAATGTGGCCATCCCAAGGACACCGCACTGAGGTTGATTTATTGATCACGCCGTCGAGGGAACATATGCAGTGACATGTAATATAGTGGAAGCAAATTACAATCTCACCTTGTTACAGTTTTCTTCTGCATTAATTGACAGCGGGACAAAGTTCTTTGTATCCGCTTAGTCGAAATTTTGATTGTTTCCACCGGGAATCTCATGTTGAACAACATAAATAAATAACACTTTTTTACCATGCAAAAGTATTTTTGAGTAGATTATTGACGAGGCTCTCTTGGCGTAAAACAATCACCATTTGTCGTCTTCCACATGTCCACGTACATCCTGCGAGAGCCCAAGTGAAGATGGCTCCGCTCTGCTTCTCTCTCTGATCGGCTTCCTTGGTAATATTGGAAACCCTCCAAAAAGAAAAGGTTAATGGAGAAACAAAACAGCAACCAAAAACTGCTTCTTTGTGCTTTTGACGGTTATTTTAAGACTTTGTCTGCTCCACCTGACCTCCACTTCATTCTGTTGGATGCAGCAAAAACATCTTGAAATAGTGCGAAAAAAGATACATATTCCCTTGAAACCACCCACATGTCTCCTTTATTATGTTTAACCTTTTTACCACTTGAGCTCTTTTAATGTAAAAAGTCTTTTGCTGAGTGCGAATCACATCGCTGTGTCCTCCCTGACTGCATCATTGGTCTATTTCTGTTTCTACAATCAAAATGAATAATGCTCTATTGCCATGGCAAAGAGGCAGAATAGAGAAAAATATGCAACCGTCAAGATTAAAAGTCTCACCACCAGTCGGCTTGAAAATGACACAACTGGCAATATTTATTCTCAGATTCAATTAGTAATGGTTTAAATCAATGTAATTGCGGGTTATTATTATAACGGGTATGGACTAATTGTTTATGAAATATAGATAAAAACAAAAAAGAATAATGCTGTGATTTAAGCTGATCAACTATATATTAAGTAAGTTAAACACGGTATTAAACCAAAGCAGTGTTAACTAAAAAATTCAATACAGTAACTAATGAAACAGACACAAAAGAGAGTCAGCGTGAGACTGTATACGCTGTTTGCATAAAAGGCTTGTGCGAGGCACAGTGACCTTGAGACAAAATAAGTCTGAGGAGGAAATGAACAAGTCACCGGTTTGATTCCTGACACATCGAACGCCGTGTCCTTTTCAAAATGTTCAGGGACTCATTTCCATCTGAGTCAAATGAGACTTGTTGTTCACTCTGAGGAACCTGCTCGTGCGAGTGCATGAATGTGTGTCTGTTCATATTTCCAGCGTGCTCCAACTCTGCTGTGTCTCCCTCGCAGTCGGTCTGGGCATGTGCAGAGAGGCACTGCAGTGCTGCACAGCCAGAGGAGAGGGATGCAGAGAGAGAAGGCCGCCCCGTGCCCTGCGATACCGTCGCCGCCATCCCGTGTCCTGAGAGCATTCGGAGGATAAGAAGTGCGTATGCAGTCCACTGCTGCAGCCCCGCATTATGAAGCGTCCATTAGGCTTGAGAAGTTTAATTCTAATGTCTATGTCGGTGACCTACGAGGACACTGAAAAGCTTTTATCCGCAGGCGCTCTCTCGCTGAACAGCTCGTCAGGGTGCGTTAACGTGTTCGTTTTGAGATTTTTGTCTTAACAAATGACCGAACTAAGTCCATTTGGTTTTCAAGCTTAAGAAAAAGAGTTTTACCCATGTTTTACTCTCAAGAGGGAAAATAAAACCCTGTGCTGTACAACAACCCTTCCTCGTTAGGAAAAACACCGCTCAGGCCAGCACAAGCGAACTGATGGTGATTAGATAAACAGTGAGAACCGGGAATATATAGTGAGATAATCTCCAAATAAATAGAAGGGAAGAGAAGGGGAAGGGAGTGGCTGATTAGAGAAAGAATATAACAGTCACAGCTTTAAATAACCTCAGAAACCAAGATAAGACAAGAAAAGTCATTGTGAAATTCAAAGAGTCAACAGAATAAAGACTGGAAAAGCTTCCCTTGTCATTCCGTGTTGTTTTCCTGGAAATTAAAAAAGAGTCACAGATAATTGTTTCCCGCCTCTGAGGCAGAGGATGTTGCCAAACATCTCTGTGAGGTTATTAGGCCTGCAGCTTGGGTGGTGTCGGGCTGCAACATGAATCGGCTGCTTGTGCCCGTGTTCCAAGACGTGATCGTTCTCTGCCTCTTGAGGCATCAAAACAGGTGGGACGTAAAACGGGCACAGCGTGTGCACCTCGGAGTCGTGACGCACCCTGGTATTTCTAAATGCTGTCATCCATTTTGTGGGCAATGATGACGGCAGTGGCGAAAGAGGGGCCAGGGTGGGATCTCTTGGTTGAAAGGGCCATCAAGTGGCCGGATATCGAACTGCACCGCCGGCCGCTCGGTGCTGTAATGAAGCAGGTGGACCACAGCTTTGCCTTGAACTGAAGTGGTCATGCTTGAGCAGGCCCTTTGAAGCCGGCTAAAGGTGCTATTTGTCTGCTCAATGATATTGTAAAAGGCACCATTCCCCTTTTCAATTAAATTAACAAAAAAAAAAGCACGATTGCAACAGGGCAACATTGTATTCGGTTTCACCTGAAGAGACACTCTGTCCGAACGCAGGTAAAACATACCTGAGTGGATTTCAAGATTGAAAAGCTACCACAGTGGCTGTAAGTGACACCGCGGCACTCCTGTTTCACTGGGATATCCTTTACAGGCTCCTCAGTGGGCCCGACCACTCCCCTGTAACGCCACGCTGCAATCCCGCGAAACAGAGGACCGCTCGGGTTCTGCAGATGAAGGTGGACAGCGTTCAGGCCAGCTGGCAGAGGTCACGCAGAGGTCAAGAGGTGCTTGGGAATGAAAGTCATCCGTGTCATTAACTCCCTTTCTATATATATATATATATATATATATATATATATATATATATATATATATATATATATATTTCAAGCTGCACTTTCATGAGGTTTCCTAAACTTGTGGCTGAATTCAAGCCCCTTTTAATATTTTATGAAATCTTGTTAAATCAATTAATGAATAATGTAGACTCACACGTTCAGATACGTTAAATGAATGACTTTAAATGCACTTCTGTATCTAATGCATTTTACATGCGTATAGCTTTTATGAGCATCCTGTGAGACAGTTAAATATAAATGTGTCTAATTGATGATGGACTGGTCCCCTTTGCTAATGCCTTATCGAGCCGTTATTTCCGTAACCACCACGCGGTGGTAGCAAAGACGCAGACGCCATGACGCACACAGAGCGCACTGCTGAAACGTATGTCCTCGTGTCCGTCGGTGCGCGTGTGTGCGTCATCAGGTGCTCACGTGCTCGAGCCGGTGTTGGGGAGGGTGGAGGGATGGGGGGGTGAAGGATGCAGTCAACGTAAGTAAGTTTCACCGGAGAGAAAGTGTGCGTCTGTTTTCTGTCCCAGAAAACGTTTTTTTTTTTTTAACATATTCAAGCACAAAACTGAAAGGAAAAAAAGGAAAAAATCAGAAGCGAAAGTTACAGTTCGGAAGTGACAGTTGACCCAGGAGAGATTGGGAGGTTGGGGTGGGTGGGAGTTGGGGGGGTGGAAGGTACTGCCGCTGCGCTCCGCCGCATCAGTCCCAGACGCTGGAGCAGTTGGAGGTGGAGGTAACCATTACGCGCGTGCCCTGCCGCCAGCGCCTGATGAGATGACACTGAAACACCGCAGGACTCCTCTTCTGCTCGCCGTCACCTGCATGTACTTCTCGGGAGGCTCGCTGTGGTCCTACCAACAGCAGGATGACAGCCACGGGTAAATGCGGCGCGGCGCGCGCGTCCCGCGCACAATGACGCGCGGAGAAAAAGTAAAGTAAACTTTGAAATGTTTGTGTTTCGCAGTGAAGAGTGCTCGGAGAATAACATTTCTACCACAAAGTACCCCTGCATGAAGACCAGCGGGGAAGTAACGGCGTGTTACAGGTAGGAGGGATCCGCGTGGCCGGATGCTGTTCAAGTGGAGTTATAATGGTGTGAAATGCGCTCCGGTGTCGTTTCATGTCAAATGCACCCCTTTTCACCCTTTTTCATCATTCAGAGCAATGACGTTGTTTAAATTGTACTGAACACTGGTCACAGTTGGGGGTTTTTTTTGGAAGCATGGAAAGATGAGGCAAAATCACAAAATTATGTTATATTTCTAAAAGGAAAATCAGCAGTGTTCCTTTGAAGATTCAAGTGATTTATTTATTTTTTTAATGGATTTCCTCTCTGTCTAATGTTTATATGAGTTGTCTGCTTCCGGCAGTCTATCATTGAAGAACTCCATGAACCTTCAACTTTGATATCGTGAGAAATCAAGAGCTATTTGGGAAGAGTAGATGTTCCTCTTTATCATCCCTTTGTGGTTTTACTATAGCAATCTAAATATCCAGCAGCCTCCTGATTGGACCATTATGCTCTGACACTGGCTTTGATTACTGCAGTTCACACTGTGGACGCAGAGTCTACTCGCCTCAGAGGCCACGGATTAAGCTGTTAGAAGCTAATCCGTCTTCATTGCAAGGGGCCACCTCGCCGGGTTAATAAAAAAAGACTCAAAGAAACGTTCACTTTGTTCTTCCCTAAAGGTCATTCATCTTTGTTATAGAATATTTACAGTTCTCAACAAAGAAGTCAGACAGGTGTCAGTTATCTTTGATATGCACCAAACCGGAAAGTCAAATCATTTATTAAAGGAATTAGATTCAACCATCCTCCCTTCCAGCCGCACCACCACTTCTTACATGACTCCCTTAAAATATATTTATTACATGATGGACAGGCTGTCAAGATTACTCCGGCAATAAAATCATGCAACTTATTAAGGGAAATGATTTCAAACTTATCTTGATTCATAGCAAATCTATTTCTGCACGTCCTTATCTGCGAGAGTGTGTCGAGAACTGAAGTAATGCCAGATTGTTGAATAACTCCTCCGAGAAGTCTTTCCAAATGTCGAATTTGAATGGTTTCATCTCTGCATCACTCGACAAACTGCTGGCTGTGGTACAAACACTCAGTGACATCCTGTTTGATCCTCAAATCCCAAACACATTCTTGACATAATTATGTTGCTTTATGTTTATTGGCTGCCGCCACAGTTGTTTCCCACAATGTTTATTTAAGAAAGGAAAGAGGGTTTCGGCTAAGAGCCAAGATGATGTGCCCCGGGTGCGTTTCATTTCACCTGCACGGTGTGAGCTGATGACTCCCCATCAGGCCTCTGGTGCTGAGTGGGGTATAGTGTCATCGCAGTGCCAAAGACGCAGATTAATGATCTAAATTTGATAAGTTGAATGGGGAATTTGGCGTCATCTACAAGTGCAATTGCGCCTTGGCCCTGACTGAGATGCAGTTCAAAGGGAACCAAGCGTGATTTAAGTTGGCAACACTCTGATGCCAAAGAGAAATATGGCATTCATTAGGCCCTCTAGAGTATCAGTGTCTGACCATCCCGGGACATTAAGTCACTGCTGTCCTATTGATGTAGAAGTCGTTGCTTGTATACTCAGCCCTCGGGACACACATTTGTATATGTTCTTATTTTCATCAGTTTCAGTTTTATTAGATCTGTGGAACTGCAGAAGTCAGATTAGCGTCAGTTTAATGCTACTGAAGCTCACAATGAACATGTGCGGCTCCTTCGTGGGGCGAATACAAGCGTTGTGACCGTGGATAGCTTCTAAAGGATTTTCATTCTCGCTAAACATTTTAATTAATGGAATCTTTTTGCCAATCTCATCTCAAATGAATAGAAATGCTGTCCATTACAGGCGGGTGCAATTCTCAAATCTATGGAGTAGTTGCCAGGCAACCAGCAGAGATACTATGATGTCACCGGTCTTAACCAAGAAATGCAAATGAAACCATTCTGGGAATTAACTGTAGTAATTCTTCCGTGCATTAGCAAATAAAAGCCCCCATGTTTTTTTTAAGTAATCTTTGAAGAGCCCTTTTAGTGCATATCCCTTTTGGGGTTTTCATAAATAAATAAAAAAGTTGTAAGCCGTCAATCAATGAGCTTTAAACGTGTATTTGTGTTGCATTTGGACTTTGCAAGAAAGATCGTCACATTTGGTGAACGCGTTGATGGATTTTTGCATTTCCAATTCTTAAAATAGTTTGTAGCTTTGCAGGGTTGTGTGGAGTTATGTATTCTTGGCTCAATATGAGACGCGAGAGGTTGTGCAGAGCTTTGTGTTCCAGACACTGCACCTAAATCACGGCTGTCTGTGCTTGAAGCACAACTGCTATACAAGCCAAAGAAGTGTTTGATTGAAATGATAAGGTGTGTGCTGTTCCTTCCAATTTGGCAACAACTTCGGTGTTAGGCAGCGGTCACTATTGTTGCTTTTTTTCAATGTACCTCCCATAGATCTGTTTGTCATTATTAAAGGCGCTAATATATTAGTATTACAGCATTCCTTAGGTTGTTTATGTTGTTGTTTCTCTCTGGTCCCTTCACGTCATCGTTGCTCATCTGGACCATTTTTTCTTTATCTTCTGTGTGTTTTCAAAAACATAAACCGATCACCTTTTGTGTCCTTGTGCCTCACAAAGCGAGATGACTGGCTCACCCGGACGAATGCGCGGAGTAGTAATGCGACCCACAAGGGGTTTTAAATGTGAGTCCGTGTTGCAGATTCGGTTGGCGCTGAACATTGATTCTTTTATTGTTTTTATGCTGATGTGTGGAACGCGGAAACTTCAGCGCAGTTTACTCGGAACGTGCACGTTGTTTTCTTTTCTTTTTTCTTCAGCTCTCTGAATATCCAGGATGAAAGCCAGATCCGATGTGTTAACTGTCCTCGGACAGAGGCACATAACCTTTGTTTATAACTCCTTCTAAGCAGAGCACAGTGAGAGCGATCGCTCCGCTCTACAGCTGCAACAGTTATGCGTAATCGACGTGCGGCATTTGTAATTGTTGCTTATGTTATTCTTTCCAGATAATATTGCTGGTACTAAGCATTTTGCTGCGTGTCCCCCCCCTTTCCCCTTGTCCGATGCTCCCCTCCTCCTCCTCCTCCTCCTCCTCCTCCTCTTCCCACTCTGGAATTCGGGGGAAACTGGTTGACGCAGAGTGGAAACTGCGCATAGCATTCCTTCATCCCCTCTGTGAGCGCAGATGAGGGTCTTTCAGAGGCACTTGGGTCTTGAATCTTTACCTGCTCATTGTGACGTACAGTGAATCCGGCGAGCAGGACGTTTGTGGAAATAAATTAGGGGGATTTTCTATTGATATTTTGGGGGGATTCCCAGACTGTCCGCTGGTCCCTCTCGTTTCCTTACCTTTTTCAAATCTGGTTTGCGCATCAAATTTAATGGACAGTATTGTAGCATCCTCCAGGAGATCATCTAACAGTTAAGCTTCCAAATATATAATATTATTAAATTAATGTAAACTCATCCTTGGGCTAAAAGTTGTTTTTGAGTCATTCTTTAAATATCCCTTTACTTTTTCAACTTTTTGGCCTGACACTATTACAAATAAACTACCATATAATACAATTAGTCACTAAGTCCAGATGATGAAAACCTTCATCTGGAAACTCAATGATTTGGGAGATGGAAAATATGAAGGCTTTTAAAATGACTCTGTCGTGCAAGCATTTGGATTGTCTGTTATTACTTGCTAATCAAGTCATCAGCCACCTCGTGCGGTGCTGGAAATGCGTCACAGAACCAGTTAGTGGACTCGATAAGTATTCTTGTCTGGACAGAAAAAAGAGGAGCACTTCATGTGCAAAGATTTAGGCGGATTACTGCAAAGTTAATTCACTCGCTGTTGTTCTGTTGTAAACAATGTTTTAATGGTTTTGACTTAAGGGATTCCAAACACACAGATGCTAATTGCCAAAGTATTTTACATTTATCAAAACTACATCTGGAATAACTTACAAAATGAAAATATTTTTTACTAATGACAACTTGTTAAGCTGCTGCAGTTCATGAGACAAAATGCATCACGACAATGTTAATGGGTTGTCTGAGGAAGGAGTGTGGACGAGTTCCAAGCTGTTTCACAACAGTCCTTTGAGTTTACTGGAATGAACCTCAGATAGATGCAGAGTGAGATAACGCCAGTGAACATCATGCCAGTCCAACATGCCTGAAATGATATCCAGTACCTGGCGCCGTTCCCCACAATCTTCCTACGGCGTAATCGGAGAAAGGTTAGAGTGAAAACTTCTGGTTTACTGTACTCTGTTTCAAAACGACATTTGGTATATTATTAAAGGCTGTGAAACTTTGGCTTATTACAAGTCTGGCTGAATCTCTGCGGTAAATAACCGGCACAACCACAAGCTTGGACTGATACATCCCAAAGCCCAAACCCCCGGAATTATACATAATGTCCTGTCAACGAAAAGACATCAACATCTGTTTTTTATCAATATTCGGTAAGATAATATTTAGCCTTTTAACAGTGTGTCACAGAGGCTGCACAAAGAGCTGACCTGAGCATTTTCATTACAACGCTGTGACGACAGCTTCGGCTCATATTGAACGTTAAAATGATTTAAAAGGACACGGGCGAGGTCAGCTGTCAGATGAAGTAATGATCCTGGTCGGTCTGGTAAGTCTGATAACAGCGCTGGATGTCCACAGCTGACAAGTTCTCCCAAATGGAGAGCAGAATAAATCGAGCTCAGAGCCACTTGAGTAAATTGTTCACATCTTCTGTCTCAAAAAGTCCCCAAAAATATAGTTTTGCGCGACACTTTTGATTCATTATGAGTGTACTCATCTGCATGTCCCACTTAAGTCCCCTGCACAGGTGAGATTAGTACGTAAGGCCTCTAGACCTCATTTAACATGCATCATTATTCAGAAACAGCTAATTATTTTTTCTCCAAAAAATTACAACAACATTTTCTCTCAGGCGTCAAACAGAAATCCCCAAAGTGATCTACAAAAGAAAACAACACACAAGGCTT